ACAATCTGATTTCTCCACATTTTATCTCATGGGTGTGGCAGCTAAACACTTCCTCTGCTTCTCTTCCACGGGAGAAGAGAAGTGGGATAGGAATAGTTCTTCAGCTGCCACCCTTGGATGATAAGCCCTGGAGGGAATACATCTCTTTGAAATTGGGGGACCTGGCACCCCATTTCTCCTCCATCACTTTCCTTCTGCTTTCCTTGCCATGGGAAAGAGTTCTACAGTAAGTCCTTTCAACAGTTCCAATAAGGCCCCCCACACATTTGCACCACTCAGGTGACCCTGAGGAAACAGATAAACCTCCAGGTAGCATTAGCATTAACGACTTGCTAAAAGAATGCAAAGGAAGAGCTGTCTGCAAGGAGTATAAATCTTTCCATTCCTCACCATCCAGTCCAGTGGTTCTCAACCTGTGGGTCGGGACCCCATTTGGGGTCGAACAACCATTTCACGGGGGTCGCCAAACAATGCAGTCCGCCATTTTTCCCCCTTTTCCTTAGCTGTGCTACTCCCTTTTATTCTATTGGCTTTTGAAAGCCAATAGAATAGACTCTCTTGAATAGAGTCTAATTCTATTGGCTTTCAAAAGCCAATAGGAATTGTCCAGGCTGTCTTTGCCCTGCTGAGCCCGCCAAAAGTCCCATTCTGCAAACGGTGCTGCACCAGTTGAGTAGTCCTCGACTTACGACCGGTTGAGTAGTCCTCGACTTACAACCGGTTGGGGGTCGCGGCATTAAAAAGGTTGAGAACCACTGATCCAGTCAGAGCTGAGGAAGCTTCTTGGATGAGAAGCCAAATGTCTTCAAAGAAAAAACAAGAAAGTCCAGTTGCCTCATGAAAAAAAGCATCTTTGGGATAACTATGACCTGGATGACCTAGAATCTCGATAGACATGGGAAAGAGGGTGTTGATGGTGTAGGACAGGGGTGTCAAACTCAATTTCACTGAGGGCCGCATCAGCATTGCGGTTGCCCTCAGGGGGCCGGGTGGGTGTGGCTAGGGTGGGTACGGCCTACTGGGTGGGTGTGGATGGAGTGGGTGTGGCCTACTGGGTGGGTGTGACCAGCTCTACATCATTCGCATCAAGGGTGCCTGTGGGGGCTGGGCAGGAATGGGACAGATATGAGGGTCTCTGGCAAAAGGGGGTGGGACCAGGGCAAGTGCCAAGGCATGGTCCACTGGAGGAGTCTCACTGTTCCTTTCAGGCCATGCGGGGGGGGGGGCTTATGGAGCTAAGATTGAATATGTTTCAGCATAGATGGCCACCACAAAATTGTACATTGGCTCCCAGCTGGCCTGGGCCAGGGCCAAGGCAGAGGAGGCCGTTCTTTCACTGTTTCCAGGATGGCTTCGTGGGCCACATGAAACCACTTTGCGGACCGCATCCGGCCTCCAGGCCTTGTATTTGACATTTTTGGTGTAGGAGAAGCAGCTAAGGAAAAGGGAGAAAAAAGGGGTGTGTGGAAACCTCTCCTTTGTTTCCACTTGTCTGACCCCACAGTAAAAGCTCTGCTCTCCAATGCTGTTCCATCCAGAGTAACTGTTCCAAGTGGATCAGGTGGGATGTTTTTCTGGCATAGACTTAAAGGCCTCCTGCAAGACCGCTGCACATATATTAAAAGCTGCAATTGCTCAGCCTTGTGGATCAGCTGCTGCTGTGTCTGTTCTGCCATTTCCTTCACTTTCTTTTTCCATGTTGTTCCCCAGAATTATCTCTATGGGGTTAGAGAACTGATGGCTCAAACCACCTGTTTATTTCCCTGCTGCCCCAGTTATCTTGTCATCCTCCCCCCAAAAGCTGGCACTGGTATCTCTGAGATGATCCTATAAACACTACCGGATGTTAAAATTTGCAGGATAATATGAGTATCAGCACATAAGCCCTTATCTCTACAAATTCTGTGTGTTCACAGACTTTTGTATGTGTGTGTTGATGCATCTACAAAAGCAGATTTGTACTGCAATGGTCTACCTTGCCTAGGTTTTCCATCCACTATTCCTATATTGCCATTTTTAAATACAATTTTCAAAAGTCAATGTCCATAATCAAGGATGAGACACATCACAACATAGGTACACAATGCTGTGTACAACAATCACAGCACACACCTTCCCCACATCAATATGGTCTAGTAGTGCTTAAGGCAAGGGAGACCTTGAGTTCTAGTCCCTCCCTAGCAATGAAAGCCAACTGGGCCAAGACTATAAGTAAATTATATCGATATTTATTAGAGCAAGATATGATTGAGGAACAGGTGAAAGAAACGATGATAATTTGGTGTAAATATTTTGGGCACAATATTGATTTGGATATTTGGCAAAGTTTATGGGGGGAAAATCTAAAAATTACTCTAGCAACCTCCTATAAGGAAAACCTCTATAAGATGTTTTATAGGTGGCACCTCCCTCCCACAAGATTAGCACGAATGAACAAGGGGAAATCCTCGATATGCTAGAAGTGTGAAGAGACCGTTGGGAATTACTACCACATGTGGTTGCAATGCCCAAAGGCACAAAAATTTTGGAACTTATTAAAGAAGTGGTTGGAAGAAATTTTGCAAATTGATATAGAAGCCAAACCGGAATTTTTCTTACTGGGAATTATAGAAAGAAAATATAAGAAAGACACAAATTATTTACTACTGCATATAGTAACAGCAGCACGAATAGCCTTTGCTCAAAAACGGAAAGAGAAAGATACTCCAACTGAAGAGGAAATAATATTGAAAATCTTCAATTGCGCTGAAATTGATAGACTTACATGGGAACTCAAGGATAAAAGTGAAACCAAGTACTATAAAATCTGGGAACAATTTTATGATTGGATAGACAATAAGAGGGTAGCCAAGATAAATGTATAGTGCTAGAATAAAATATAGATTACAGACAAATGTATATTTAAAAAATAAATAGATATATAGAAATAAGGGCAAAAGTGTTAATAGTATATTATAAATAGTGAGCAAATTTCAAGAACTATATGTCTATATGAGTACTAATACTATTGTAAAATGTTGGAAGATGTATGGAACCAGTGACGTCATATCTACGTCCAATGTGTTTTTAATTTTGTATTATTAATAAAAAATTAAAAAAAGGAAAAAAAAGAAAGCCAACTGGGCAACTTTGGGCTAGTCACACTCTCAGCCCAAGCCATCTCACCAGTTGTCTTTGTGGGGAAAATAAGAGTGTCAGAGATATTCACCTTGAGTTATTTGTAAAAATAATAAAGGTGGGATACAAATTATAAACATTTTTAAAAAGAGTCTGTTGCAATGGGTTAACTCTACCGTCCTAGACTTTACAAATTGATGTAGCCACAGAAATAATTCTTACAACATATAAAAATCCTAAAGACTGTAAAGTGGCATCCACCCTTTGCCTCCCCCAAAACATCTGGCATTCATTAAGATTAGGAGTTGCTTACTCCCCGCCCCCACCCAAAGACTGCAGTGCTCCAGACCAAGCTCCAAGCTGTGTTCACCAGGCAGGTTGCAATTCAGCACTTTGGGGAAGGGGGTAGGAAGAGGGGAGTGGAAAAGGCTGAACACCCCCCCCCCGTAACGATTTCATGCACCCATCTTAGTTTCGGTCCTCTCTTACTTCCCAACTGATTCTTTAAGTCGATGTTTCTTCAACTATTTTCTTTCAGGACCCCTTCCCACTTTTAAAGATTATGGAAGACCTCAGAAGAGCTGTTGTTTGTTTGGGTTACATTGATCATATTTACCACACTAAACATCATATGGGTGTGTTCATTGTTGCTGTGGCTTCTCACGCGATTTTAAGATTCTATTCCAGTGGTGGAGAACCTATGGCACAGGTGCCAGAGGTGGCACTCAGAGTCCTCTCTGTGGGCATGCACACCATCGCCCCAGTCCTAGGCCTTCAGCTGGGTTTTATAAACCTTTTCGCTTTAGGCCTCCACTGCCATGTGCAAAAAAAAAAAAAAGGTTCAATCAATTTCAACTTCTGAGGGGGAAAAAAAAGATCTTGCAAAGTTGGAATTGATTGATCGAACTTTTTAGTCCCACCCAGTGTGCCGTTACCACCGCAGCCAGACCCACTCAATTGGCTACACCCACCCATTTGGCCATGCTCACCCAATGGACCACACCCACTCGGCACTCAAGGATGCATAAGTGGGTTTTGGGTTGCAGTTTGGGCGCTCAGTCTCTAAAAGGTTCGCCATCACTGTTCTATTCTTTTTCTAAATTCCCGGACCCCTCAGAGAATTTGGGGAGACCTCCATTGTCCTCGGACCACATTTTGGGAAACACTGGGAGAGAGGGGGAAGAGAGGGAAAGGCAGTCTCCCTTCCTTACCTGGGGGTAGGCAACCTTGGCTCTTTTATGACTCGTGGACTTCAACTCCCAGAATTCCTGAGCCAATTCTGGGAACTGAAGTCCAAGAGTCATAAAAGAGCCAAGGTTGCCTACCCCTTACCTAGGCTAATGTTAAGTCAATTTCAATATTAATATTAGCAAGTATTAAAATGATTTTAATACTTTTAATGTTTTATCTCGTGGCTTTGACTTGATTGCAAACCGATGGGCGGCATTTTAATATAATATCTATGGAGATCGCCAATCGTCCGGGTCATGGTTGTCCCAAAGGTACTTTTCCAAAAGGCAACTGGACTTTTTTTGTTTTTGTTCTTCCTTGTAAACGTTTCGCATCTCATCCATGAAGCTCAGAACTGAAGAAGCTTCTTGGATGAGAAGCGAAACGTTTTCAAGGGGAGAAAAAAACACCCCCCCATCCCCAAGAACGTACAGTTGCCTTTTGGAAAAGCAAACGGCTTTTCCAGGCTTTGGGACATTTAATGTAATAAATAAAAGTAAGTTAAAACATTTCTCCCTTCTCCAACTCTCAAACGCTGCTCAGCCACGTCAAACGCAGCCCAGAAAGGCCACCTGGCATCAGCGTTTCTCCGGGGCGCGAGGAAAAGGAGGAGGAAACGCTGCTTTCCAAGCGCAGTTAAGTTTCGCTTTCGAGTTTGCCTGCTTCAACCCCGGGAAAGCAAAACTCAGGGGCGGGGCGAGCGAGAAAAGGACGCGGGGAGGACGCTAGCTGGCTACTCGCGAAGGAGAGATCCGGGACGATCTGGAGACCCAGTGTCCACGGTAAGGCTCACTCAGTCTCTCCTCTTCCCACCCCCCCCCCGTCCCCTTTTGGTTTTCTAGGCTTGTCATCCTGGTTTATGGAATAAAGCCCTCTTGCTGAATTTCCCCAGGTTTTTTGCAAGCCTTTTCCTACAGTTTTCCAAGGGAGATGGGGGTGCATGACGTTTGGCTAAACCGCAAAGTGGCTTACTCGCGCCGGGGGGGGGGGGAAGCCCCTGAACTAACTAAGCCAGTGTTTCTCAACCTTGACAATTTTAAGGCATGTGGACTTCAACTGCTGGCTGTGGAATTCTGGGAGTTGAAGTCCACATGCCTTAAAATTGTCAAGGTTGAGAAACACTGAACTAAGCAGACTAAGTCTGCTGAACTGAACTATGATGGGCCCGAATGGTTTATTGCGATGTAAAGGAGGGCGTTTGTTATTAAGCCACTGGTAGTAACATCTAGCATCGCCTAAAATCCAGCAAAGTAATAGTAGAATAGTATAGGCGAAGTAATGAAGATAAGGCAAACATAAAATGAAGTAATAAAAGGAATATTCGAAGGAATTGGGGTAAAAGAACATAATGGCAGAGCGGAGACTGAAAAGTTAAAAAGATTTTTTTTTCTTACAGCTACGACTAAAAATTTAAGATTATTTTTCTAAGTTTAAATGACAGCAGAAGGAAAGTAGCCTCGCTGCTAATAGCTGGAGACACATCTGCAAGAAGCTCATTCAATTATTTGAGGTCTGAGCCCTTGAGTTCACCTCCCGTGAATAATTTGGGTCTAATTTCATAAAGGGGATAGTGGAGAATATAATGAATATTGTCCACTGCTTGACACAAGCACCACAAGGAGCAAGACCTCGTTGGGCAGGATGACTGGTAATTATTAACTAGGGCAGGGGTAGGCAACCCCAAACACTCAAAGAGCCACTTGGACCGGTTTCCCACCAAAAACAAAACACTGGGAGCCGCAAAACCCTTTTGACATCTAAAATGAAGCTAACACTGCATATATCCTTTTTTACCTTTACGAGATGCGCACTTGCGCTCCTCCCTCTCTCCCTCCCTTTCTTTCTCTTTCTCTCTCTTTCCTCTCCCTCTCTTTCCTCTCCCTCTCTTTCTTTCCTCTCTTTCCTCTCCCTTTCTTTCTCTCCTTCCTCTCTCTTTCCTCTCCCTCTCCTTCTCTTTCTCTTTCATCTCCCTCTCTCTCTTTCCCTCTCTCTTTCCTCTCCCTCTCCTCTCCCTCTCTTTCCTCTCTATTTCTCTCTTTCCTCTCCCTCTCTCTCTTTCTCTTTCCTCTCTTTCTCTTTCCTCTCTCTTTCCTCTCCCCCTCTCTTTCCTCTCTATTTCTGTCTCTCTTTTTTTCCTCTCCCTCTCTCTCTTTCCTCTCCCTCTCCCTCTTTTCTCTCCCTCTCCTTCTCTTTCTCTTTCCTCTCCTCTCCCTCTCTCTTTCCTCTCCCTTTCTTTCTCTCTTTCCTCTCTATTTCTCTCTCTCTCCCTTCCTCTCTCTCTTTCTCTCCCTCTCTCGATCTTCTGCTCACCTGGCAAGCTAGCTTCAAGCTGTTCTCCAACAAGCTGACACAAATTCTTATTGGGCTAGCTCAGGGGTAGGCAACCTTGGCTCTTTTATGACTCATGGACTTCAACTCCCAGAATTCCTCAGCCAGGCATGCTAGCTGAGGAATTCTGGGAGTTGAAGTCCACAAGTCATCAAAGGGCCAAGTTTGAAGACCCCTGTTCTAATCCAACTCCCTGCTCAAGCAGGAAACCCTATACCATTTCAGATAAATGTCCAATCTCTTCTTAAAATCCTCCTGTGTTTGAGCACCCAAAAGATTGTAAAATCAGGCACAGTTCACTTAACAATTGCCCTGATTAGGAACTGAAATTCTAGTCCCAATTGTGATTATTTAGTCGAGGACTATATATATTTTGTGGACAGTTTGAATCCCCCCAATGCACCCAGACTGGTGAACATTTTAATAAACATTGATTGCAAAGCAGGCTAGGTCTCCATCTCTGTTTTATTCAGAACTATCAGCATTCATATTTGTTCTCAAGTTAAATCAGAAAAAAGTTAGGAAAAGGCACATTTCCCCTTCCTGCCCTTTGTCTTGGGAGAAAGATCTTCCAGTGTCTTTGTTTTGTGGAATTGCAAAGAAAACAGATTGCTTAAGTGAGGTAATCCAATTTTTGTGAGGTTACATACTTGAACTGGATCTAACTAGGCAGGCTCTGATCACCAGATCTGGTGGGATAAAATATGATGGGTCAGTTATGGCTTTGTATATTCAAAAAGCCCATAGAATACGTATAAATTTTATCTGAATTTTTAAACCTATGGTTATTACTTATTATGATGGGCTTGGAACAAATAGAATGTGTATTAGATAACTCCTGGAGCATTCATTAGCCAAGGTTTAGGAATAAAACAGACCAATAGAACAAATTTTTAGATCATTACTAAAATGTTTATTAGATGATATTTCTTATATATCTCACCTTGTCCCACCTTCTGCTTTAGTGAAATTGTATAAAGTTTTCTTAACCCTTTGTTCTGGATCCTGGCATTTTGCTGGCTGGCACTCCTTTTGGTGAAGTGCTTCAATAAAAGGAAACAAAACTGCACAAACCTGCACCTCGTGTCTGGTGTTCCTCATTAACTTCGGCACCAAGCTCAAACCTGAACTGAAGATAACAATTGTTTTAATGTTTTACGTGGTATTTTAATCACATGACTGTAAGCCACCCAGAGTCACCTCAATGAGATGGGCAGCCCAGAAATCTAAAAATAAATAAAATATTCTAACTATAACTTTATTTAGTCCTATGAATCTAAAGGTTAGGAAATTTAAGACATTTCCCCACTCCTGGCTTAAGATACAAACCTGTTTTAGAAATAAAACCATGCATAAAATGCTATCTTCCTTGTCAACACCTTGTTGCTTCTTTGTTGCCCGTTCTGTTCTAAGTCACGGCAAAATGCTGTTGTTGTGGTCTGTGACTGCTATTGTCCAGGCAAAGTGGTTGGGTTTACTACCTGTCAACTTTCAGCACATGCCCAGCCAGAGAGGAAAGTTTCCACCATGTGTGTATTTGTGTGTGAGTGTGTGTGTAGTTTGCATCAGCAATCGGAAGCCTCTCATTTTGGGATTCTGCTTACTTTTTTCTAAGTTTGCTTTTCCCTCTTCTTTCCTCTCACCAGTTTTCTCATTTCTCATGGGTAATGTACAGGGTAATTCTCGACTTAATAACAGTTCATTTAGGGACCATTCAAAGTTACAACAGCACCGACAAAAGTGACATGACCATTTTTCACACAATTGTTGCGGCATTCCCATGGCCATGTGATCAAAATTCAGATGCTAGGCAACTGACTCATATTTATGATGGTCTCAAGGTCATGTGATCCGCTTTTGCGACCTTCTTATAAGTCAGTGGGGAAGCCATTCACTTAACAACCGTGTTCCTAATTTAACAAGTGCAGTGATTCACTTCACAATTGTAGCAAGAAAGGTCGCAAAATGGGGCAAAATTCACTTAAATGTTTCGCTTAGCAACAGAAATTTTGGGCTCAGATGTGGTTGTAAGTTGAGGATTACCTCTATAATAAAGAAACATGGAGGAAGGCACTGGGACAGAATGCGCAACTATCTAGGTAGGTCCTTTAAAGCAGGAGAAATGAGACTGCTTAGCTGTTAAACTTCTACTGGGAACTAAAAGTGATTGAAACTGACCAATACAGGGAAAATGACAAATTGGAACAATACTCCAATTCACTCCCCCCAAAACATACCCTTATTATTTTCTGGATATTGATGTGAGGAGAAAGATAGCTGAGGTTGCTGAAGACTACTTCTTCAAATGGTGATGTGGCAAGTTCAGAATATTGTTTGAGAGAATAAGAAGATCTCATTCTCCAATAAACTGGCAGATCTTTGCTGCCTTCTAGTGCTGGTTACAATTCAAGATCAAAGTTGGGAAGCCAGGAAAATAACTGGTAGAGAAAGAACTTGAAGCAGAGCGTGGAAGACCACTGAAACAGAACTCATTCCCATAATAATGAGTAAGCTGGTCACTGCAGGTTTTACACATTCTGAAGCTCTGGAGTGAAAGAAGGTCAGTTTAAAGGGGAAAAGATGGTTTTAAAATTAATAGAAACTGAGATTGTTTCACTCATAGACAGAGATGGAAAACTTGTGGTCAGGGAGAAGATTGGCATTGCCAGAGCATGAGGGCATTATGGTGACATGCAAATGAAGATGGGGCCTTAATATAGTTGCATATTATGACCTTCAGAAAATCAAGTCAGATGAAGTATAAATAGTAAAACAATAAAAGAGCCAGTTTGGTCTAGCCCAGGGGTAGGCAACCTTGGCTCTTTTATGACTCGTGGACTTCAACACCCAGAATTCCTGAGCCAGCATGGCTCAGCTTGAAAACCTCTCCCTTTCCCCTCAGCATGGCTGGCTTAGGAATTCTGGGAGTTGAAGTCCATGAGTCATAAAAGAGCCAAGTTTGCCTACCCCTGGTCTAGTCATTAAGGCAACCAGGCTCGAAACTAGGGGACTGAATTCTAGTTCCACCTTAGGCATGAAAGCTGGCTGAGTAACTTTGGGCCAGTCATTCTCTCATCCCAACTTACCTCACAAGGTTGTTGTGAGAAAATAGGAAGGAGTATTGTTATTAAAAAATAATAAAGGTGGGATGTAAATAAATAAACATAAAACAGGCATTTTAAAAAGCAGTATTACAGTTATAGCAGACCTTGAAGGATTCCCCCTAAATGAGCAGTCGGACCTGGTTAAAACTCGAATGGGAGGCTGCTAGAAAATATAAGGTGTGTTAGCTGGACTGGGCAGTCAAGAAAGTTACTGGGCAAAGGTTGTGGTGAACAGACTGCCTTTTACTGCAAAGGAAATGACATAAATACAGATAGTCCTTGCTTAAATACGGTAATTGGGGTGGAAACTTTTGATGCTAAGTGATGTGATTGGAAAATGTGATGTTACA